GGTTCATCCCAGGGATGCAAGGATGGTACAACATTCGAAAATCCATCAACATCATCCACCACATCAACAAAAAGAAAGACAAAAACCACATGATCATCTCCATAGATGCTGAAAAAGCATTTGACAAAATTCAACATCCATTCATGATAAAAACTCTCAGCAAAATGGGAATAGAGGGCAAGTACCTCAACATAATAAAGGCCATATATGATAAACCCACAGCCAGCATTATACTGAACAGCGAGAAGCTGAAAGCATTTCCACTGAGATCGGGAACCAGACAGGGATGCCCACTCTCCCCACTGTTATTTAACATAGTACTGGAGGTCCTAGCCACGGCAATCAGACAAAACAAAGAAATACAAGGAATCCAGATTGGTAAAGAAGAAGTTAAACTGTCACTATTTGCAGATGATATGATACTGTACATAAAAAACCCTAAAGACTCCACTCCAAAACTACTAGAACTGATATCGGAATACAGCAAAGTTGCAGGATACAAAATCAACACACAGAAATCTGTAGCTTTCCTATACACTAACAACGAATCAATAGAAAGAGAAATCAGGAAAACAATTCCATTCACCATTGCATCAAAAAGAATAAAATACCTAGGAATAAACCTAACCAAAGAAGTGAAAGACTTATACTCTGAAAACTACAAGTCACTCTTAAGAGAAATTAAAGGGGACACTAATAAATGGAAACTCATCCCATGCTCATGGCTAGGAAGAATTAATATCGTCAAAATGGCCATCCTGCCCAAAGCAATATACAGATTTGATGCAATCCCTCTCAAATTACCAGCAACATTCTTCAATGAATTGGAACAAATAATTCAAAAATTCATATGGAAACACCAAAGACCCCGAATAGCCAAAGCAATCCTGAAAAAGAAGAATAAAGTAGGGGGGATCTCACTCCCCAACTTCAAGCTCTACTACAAAGCCATAGTAATCAAGACAATTTGGTACTGGCACAAGAACAGAGCCACAGACCAGTGGAACAGATTAGAGACCCCAGAAATTAACCCAAACATATATGGTCAATTAATATTTGATAAAGGAGCCATGGACATACAATGGCAAAATGACAGTCTCTTCAACAGATGGTGCTGGCAAAACTGGACAGCTACATGTAGGAGAATGAAACTGGACCATTGTCTAACCCCATATACAAAGGTAAACTCAAAATGGATCAAAGACCTGAATGTAAGTCACGAAACCATTAAACTCTTGGAAAAAAACATAGGCAAAAACCTCTTAGACATAAACATGAGTGATCTCTTCTTGAACATATCTCCCCGGGCAAGGAAAACAACAGCAAAAATGAGCAAGTGGGACTACATTAAGCTGAAAAGCTTCTGTACAGCGAAAGACACCATCAATAGAACAAAAAGGAACCCTACAGTATGGGAGAATATATTTGAAAATGACAGATCTGATAAAGGCTTGACGTCCAGAATATATAAAGAGCTCACACGCCTCAACAAACAAAAAACAAATAACCCAATTAAAAAATGGGCAGAGGAACTGAACAGACAGTTCTCCAAAAAAGAAATACAGATGGCCAAGAGACACATGAAAAGATGCTCCACATCGCTAATTATCAGAGAAATGCAAATTAAAACTACAATGAGGTATCACCTCACACCAGTAAGGATAGCTGCCATCCAAAAGACAAACAACAACAAATGTTGGCGAGGCTGTGGAGAAAGGGGAACCCTCCTACACTGCTGGTGGGAATGTAAATTAGTTCAACCATTGTGGAAAGCAGTATGGAGGTGCATCAAAATGCTCAAAACAGACCTACCATTTGACCCAGGAATTCCACTCCTAGGAATTTACCCTAAGAACGCAGCAATCAAGTTTGAGAAAGACAGATGCACTCCTATGTTTATCGCAGCACTATTTACAATAGCCAAGAATTGGAAGCAACCTAAATGTCCATCTGTAGATGAATGGATAAAGAAGATGTGGTACATATACACAATGGAATACTACTCAGCCATAAGAAGTGGAAAAATCCAACCATTTGCAGCAACATGGATGGAGCTGGAGAGTATTATGCTCAGTGAAATAAGCCAAGCGGAGAAAGAGAAATACCAAATGATTTCACTCATCTGAGGAGTATAGGAACAAAGGAAAAACTGAAGGAACAAAACAGCAGCAGAATTACAGAACCCAAAAATGGACTAACAGGTACCAAAGGGAAAGGAACTGGGGAGGATGGGTGGGCAGGGAGGGATAAGGGGGGGGAAGAAGAAGGGGGGTATTAAGATTAGCATGCATGGGGGGGAGGGAGAAAGGGGAGGGTGGGCTGCACAACACAGAGAGGACAAGTAGTGACTCTACAACATTTTGCTAAGCTGATGGACAGTAACCGTAATGTGGTTGTTAGGGGGGACCTGATATAGGGGAGAGCATAGTAAACATAGTATTCTTCAGGTAAGTGTAGATTAAAATTTAAAAAAAAAAAAGAAAGAAAGAAAGAAAAGGGGGATTACTCCTTAACAGGATAAAACTATTGGTAAATCAAAGATCAACGCATGCTTTAAATATCCTTAATGTTGATCACTTAAAGGGTGTCAGATGATCAGCTATGGAGGTACTCTTTTCTGATAATATTCCTTTCTCTTAATTAAAAAAAAAAAAAAAAAGCAGTTACTGTGTGCTGACCTCCAATGAGTTCTGCACAGTGGTATAGAGGGCATGTCAAAGTGTGGGCAAAGGGTCTGTTTGTTTCTACGCAGAAGATCAAGGCCTAGCTTGGATACCCAGAAAATGAACTAAGATACGATATGAGGAGGAGCTTCCGGCATCAGCACTCTCTGGAGGACTCGTGCCGGGGGATGATCATCAAAAAGCCTCCACAGGGATCCGGACGATGCTGCGGTTGTGGCTGCATCCAGCCCACCGTCTCCTGGACTTGCCATAAGAAGGAGGAGGGAGATGTCTAGGCTGGCATGTGCATACAGTGAGACAACGAATTTGACTGGATCTGTACTGTTGGAACTCAACCAGGAGTTGGGAGGGGTGCAAGTTGTAGCACCCCAAAATCTCATGACTATAGACTATCTATGGTTAAAAGAACATATGGGATGTGAACAGATCCCAGAAATGGGCTGCTTTAATTTGTCTGATGGTTCAAGTACAGTTGGACAATATCCATCATATCATAGATAAATTTTCACAAATGCCTAGGGTGCCTAAATGGTTTTCTTGGCTTCACTGGAGATGGCTGGTAATTATAGATTTGCTTTGTTTATGTCACCGTATTCCTATTATGTTAATATGTGTGTGCAAATTAGTTAGTAGTTTAAAACCTATACATACTTAAGGTACTATACAAGAAGATATGTCAAAGAAATAATCAATCCTCCCAAGTTTCCTTCATATGCTACATCTATAGCTTTTCTTCTTCCTTCCTAATTACAACCCTTAAATAGAATTCGTGCCTCATATCGAATTTACCGAGTATCATAATTCCTCCAGGTGGTAAAGATACCTCGAGACAAGTGCTGGGCATAGAAGCCACAGGGCATAAATCTGCAAAGAAGTAAAAAGCTAACCTTTGCAAACAATATGGCTTCTCTCTCACTTACCAACTTTACATTTCCCTGTATGGCCCCGGAAGATGACTGGTTAGCCAGAGACGGGTAAGATTCCTCAAGGGAGGAACAACCTAAGACAGGCACAGTCGCAGGGGGGCCATCAGGTGAGAATTTGGGGATCAACAGAGGTGAGGCTCAGAACCTCACCCCCCCTGCTTTGAGAGAAATCTTCTGCATCCGTGGATGTTTTATTGCCCTTGTCTAGCTTGGATTAACACATAGTCTACAGGCACACACCTGATCATCTACATTTGCTCTCTTACAACACTAAACTATGTTTTCTACCTTTATCTTGCATCTACCTACCACTTCAGCATTTTATTAAAAATAAAAATAATAATAATAATAAAGGGAGAAATGTGGGATCCACATATAAATCAAGTATAAAAATCAAACGAATATTCATATTTGACCTGATTGTTTATAGTTCATAATGCGTGATCAAAACTGAAAGTTTCTGTGATGACTGCCCTTGCACTGTTTACCATGTAAGAACTTATTCACTATGTAAGAATTTGTTCACCATGTAAAAATTTGTTCGTTATGCTTCAGAAGATTGGAGACTGATGAGAATTAGACTTGGGGTGGATTAATGATTGTGCATTGAGCATTGACTCCCCTTTACAGAATTTTATTGTTGTTAACAACCATTTGATCAATAAATATGAGAGAGGCCCTCTCAAAAAAAAAAAAAACTAAATGTAGTCTTACCATGTGATCCAGAAACTGCTCTCCAAGGTATATACACGAATTGAAAGCTTATGTCCACAGAAAAACCTGCACACGAATATTTATAGAAGCTTTATTTAAAATTGCCCAAAACTGGGAACAAGCAACATGTCCTCTAATAGAGGAAGGGATAAACAATGGAATATTATGTAGCAATAGAAAGAAATGAGCCATGAGAAAACATGGAGGAACCTTAAATGAATATGGCTAAGGGAAGGAAGTCAGTCTGAAGAAGCTACACACGGTATGATTCCAACTATGTGACATTCTGGAAAAGGCAAAACTAGAGACAGTAAAAAAGATCAGTGGTTGCCACAGGTTGGGGTGCAGGGACAAACAGGTAAAGCCCAGGGGATTTTTAGGGCAGTGCAACTCTTCTGTATGATAATGTGTTGGTGGATACATGATCTGTATTTTTCAAAACCCAAAGAACTGTACAACACAGAGAGAACCCTACTGTAAAGCATGACATTTCACTGGTAATTCCGTACAGATACTGCTCTTCAACTGTAACACATATATCAAATCCAAGATGTTAATAAGAGGAGAAATGGTGGGGACCTTTTGTACTTGCTGCTCAATTTTTCTGTAAACTTAAAAACTGCACTAAAAAACAAAGTCAGTTAATGTGTTTAAAGGTTAAAAAAATGCTACATACCTTTTTTTAAATTCACTTTGAAAAGTTGATGGTAACATCTCTGGGAAGAGTTTCAGAAATACTGGGAGTAAGAATTCCATGAAGGGTACAATTATGAACACCGTAAATGGAACCAGGCGGAAGAAATCTGTTCTCAACAGCTAAAGAATTAAATGCATATGCAATACTCATTATTTTAGGGCATGCCAAAAACAAAGAAACAGAAACAAGTCTCCTTGTTTTTTACAGTGTTAAAAACCCAAGACAGATTTTCTGCAGCAGTTTGGAAAATGGAAAGGCAGGGTTTTCCTCTTTACCATAGCACTGAAGTTATATTTAGGGGATATCTTCAAGGAAATCTGTGACAATCAGAACATATTATTTGCAGGTCTTAGCTTTCATCTAAGTTAGGGATCCATACTTTAATAACATACTATTTGTTAAAATTGGCTTTCAAATTTATATGTTTAATAGCAGTTTCTACTTAAGATGCACAGATCTAACTTGAAGACTCTCAACTCCTTGGAGAAATCAGAAAACAATGAAAACCTTTCCATAGGCAAATACACAAAGATTTTTAAGAATCTTGCCTAAAAAGTTGTATAGCAAGTTAGTTGCAGACAAGTAGGAAACTCAGGTTCTTACCATCAGTGACAATTCCTACTTTGGGATGTTAAAGACTTACCAAATAGTTCATTTTAGCTTTTATATTTTCTTTCTTAAATATGATTTTTGCCTATCCTTCGTCTCTCTCATCTAGCCAGCACCTGTCCATGCAACAGCCTCCAACCGTTCTGGCAGCCATTTTGGTGTCTATCCAAAGCAAATAGAACCCATTGTAATAATATTTAAGTTCATTCATAATTTTTTATCCAAAAGATCGCTTTTCTTCCCTTATCTTCTTGCCAGTTTCTTCCGTGGACTGAGGGCTTGTCACCTGTGACTTTTTAGAGGTTTTCTGCACCTGAGGTTTACTGGGACCCTCTTGTAGCCAGCAAGTTGATGTGTGTAGCTTTTGTATCATTCCAGTTCATAAGTGAAGTACTTTATTTCCTGGCTGACTAGCATAGGTGTACTTCTTGCTTCTGTAGCTCTTCATATGTGTTTTATTTAAACGGGTATCTGCCAAGTGAAGAAATGCAAATGATGGGGAGTAAGAAGAACTGGAAGGATGGACAAAACAGCGAGGGAATCTGGAATAAAGAGCAACATCCTCTGAATTGTATATATATTATTACAAACTTAAAAGTTAAAGAGACATTTTATCTGGTTAAAATGAAATAATAGTTTGTAAGCCTCTATCTTAAAAGCAGATGATGTTTATTAGTGAATGAAATACAACTTTTACCCCAGTTGAAGAACAGCATGCTTTATGGATGAGTGATATAATCTATGAGAAATACTGTAAATTAATTCCTAGGAATAATTGCTATATTAGAAGTTAGAAACTTAGTGACTGTTGACTTAAAATCTAATAGCAAACATTGTTCCATTGGTTGAACGTTTGGTCCCTATCTACTATCCTAAAACAGGTGAAAAACTTGTGTCTTCAACCACTCTGACAATAGGAATATTGTTGAAATGAAACACTCATTGTCCCTGTGGGGATTAGCCAATCATATAATACTGCTTTGCCCATGGACTCCCTCACATTAGAGGCACTTAGAAATACCCTTTACCCATGATTCCTCAAGAACATTAGGAATAAGAATTGGGCACCCAGCCAGGAATCTCTACATTCTAGTTTTTCAACAGCTCACAATCTTTATTTAGTTAAACTAGCATATCAAATTGTTTGAAAATAAAAATAAGACCCATCCAGGCAAAGACAGCTCCTGGCCAAGAGACTTCTTTTGACAAAGAGATGGCTTTTTCGATTCTTCCAGACTGTTTTTGAAGCATGCCAAAATAAAACACTTTTTGAAGGGCCAAATGGGAAAATGTACAGTGTATCTGACACATAGTAAGTTCTCAGTGAATAATCTTTGGTAAGTGATAACAGACATTCCTGAGGCAGGTATTTGCCCCAGGACTGGGTGGTTTCCCAGCCATTTTGCTCCTTTTTACAACGGCCTCATGAGACGTTCATCAATTACAGAGGTATCACTCTAAAACCATTACATTTTCTATCTTATTTGCACCATTCATCTACAAAATTACTCAGCCTGAGTTGCTAGGCATATAGAAAATCTGGGTACGTTTAAGTACATTAAATGTCAGCTTCTTAAAAACCGACATAGTTAAAACCAGCAAAGTTTTAATTGTGTACTAAGCCTATCCTTTTACATATATATATCTTTTCCATCTAGAAGAATAAAGTTCATCTAATAATGGGGGTGGAGGGGAGATTCCAAGGCTTACCTTGTTAGAGCAATAGCTAAGACTGTATTATAACTGAAGGACATATTTATATGCCTCAACTAGTCAACACAGGAACCTAGGCAGAAGCAGTAGGTAAACAATTTAGTATTTTGAACACATCAATTGTATAGACATCAGGATTTCAGTGTTTTTAACTATTGCAAGAGTAGAAATTTGCATATTCTATTTAAGGTGTAAAATCTCAAGGTCACTTCCAACAATCATAAATAATATTTTCTTAGCCCTGGATTTGAGAATGGTATTCTGAGATGCCAATCAATGGATATACACTTGAATAAGATGATGATCATGATGGTGATACATACGGTCTTCAAAGACATTTAGATTTCTGGTCAATAGTACCTAATAATCTACTTGAAGGTTGCCAGATAGGTAAGAAACTGAGCAAGAACACTTATTTGTAGCTTAAAAATAGAGTAGAAGAGAGCGACTATCCTGGATTTGTTTTCAATTGGCTTTTTACACATACTTGAACAAGTTGCCCCAAACTTTAAAGTCAGAATGTAATCCCTAATCTCATTATGTAACAGTGAAGATATACCCGGGTGCTTACTAGTAATTGAAGTGGAGGTAAACTGCTTTCCTGTGGTGGTGATTCCCCCAAGAGCCCATAGTGAGCCTTATACCTTTAAAACCCTTTCTCCATTCTGTGGCATCTCTCAGCCAAGGGCAGCAAAGAGCCTTACTGTGTCAGAGTGTCAACTCGGCTTTCCTGCAGCCGGGAAAGGAGCTCCAGAGCGTTTGCTGGACGGAAAGCTCAACCGCAGAGCTGACATTTTGAACAGGAGTTCAAATAGTACTGCGGGACATCTGAACCTAGACTAAGGGTGGGTGGTCTCCTGCTGGAGGAAGACCAGACGCGGTCCGGCGGTTAATCTGCTCTCTGGCCGGGGCACTCCGATGCTGGGCTGCGGCGGGGCGGGACCGGGCTCCCCGGTTACCTTTGCTCTGGCACTGACCACACGGGGGCAAGGCAGCCGGTGGCTGGAGTGCACGAGGTGTGTTGGTGGTCTGTGTGTTGCAGTGGCGTCTGGGGGGCCGCCTTTGTTTTCTGCTGCGGGGTGGTGCAGGCAAAGGGACGAACCTTGTTGACAATCCAGGTTTATGGGAGGAGGCCGAGAAGCTGGGCGCGGGCACGGGAGAGGAAGGAGGAAGCGAAGCACGGCAGGAGGGGGAATGGAGGCTGAGCTCCAAAGGTGTGGGGCGGGCTGCGGAACGATGTCAAGGGCTGAGGAGAGTGAGGACAGGGACTGGAAGCTGTCGGGAAAACTGGGTGCGGGCGGGAAGGGCAGGAGCAGAAGGAGCAGCTCGGGGGAAGGGCAGGCGCGGACAGCCCAGTAACAGTCGGAGGGCTAGCCGCGCCCTCCCCACCTCCTGGACCGGCTCCCCGGAACGGCTGCTCGGTCCTCCAGTCCCCTCGCTAGTCTCGGCTCCCCGCCCCAGCTACCCAAGCTAGAAGGGTCCAAGGCCAAGTCTCTTGGCTCCACCTCCTTCCTCACCAGGTACATTACTCTGAGTGACGACAGGACTCACCAATGAGCTCTCAGATCTGCGGAGGGAGGGCGGCCTTCAAAGTGGCAGCCCAGGAGGCCGCCAGGTCTTGTTCCCGCTGGTGAAATGATTTCTCGGCTGGGTTTAATTTAAAGAGGATCTGTGCTGGGGGAGCCAGGACTGTCAAATCCACGCTCTGTAGCCTGTAGGCTAACCCCTACCACACACCCCAAAAGCCTTGATTGAAGGCTGAATTAAAGACGCTCTTACCCTACTGATAGCGTAATATGCCTGATAGTCACCATGGTAACCATCGCGGAGTCACGGATTACATCGCTTTGATGTATACCTCCTCCCCAGCTCTGCAGCTGTCAGGGTTGGGAGTGGGTGTGGGTAGGGGAGTGGCAGAAAGGGCAGAATGGTCAGGAAAACATCCCCCTTCCCTTCTCCAGGACCTAAGATTGGAATGTGTGAAATCTTCACATGGAAACCCGAATTCCACTGAAGAAATTTAGCTTCATGAATATTAACAGGTATTATAATCAGTAGTTGTGTAGAAATCTCGACATTTAAAACATATAGTAGCTGTGCAGAGACAGGCATTGCAGGTTTGGGGACCCTGCAGGTCCTAGGACTAAGCCATTTTGGGAAAGTGGAAGACTAGAAATGGTTTTGCTCCTCCATTATCTCTACTCATCCATTTTATCTGGCTCTAGAAGGAAAACAAAATTTTTAATAACTCTCCCTTAACCAACACTAGACAGCAAAAAATGGTTTTCACAGGAACAATACTTAACATTATCAGCTGACCACAGCTCTTACTCATCGGGGTTGCACGTTTGTAAGAATGAAAGATGGTGGGTATTATATTTATTTTCTTTTAATCCACAAAGCATTTTTCAGCTAATAACCAAATGGATCAATTACGTTAAATGTGCAAAGTTTTTCCCTTTGGCCACTAGAGGGCCCTTTGTGCATGTCTGATGCTCAACATTCCCCATAAAGATTTCACTTCACGTTCTGCGTTTACTAAAACTGATAAAATCTACAAAGCTTTGGTCTCTTTACCTTTCCTTCCCTGAAAATTCCCGACGATAAATTCTGAGCTCTGAAAGGCTAGGTAGGTTTAATCTCCACGTTAATTTCACAAATTAATCACTGCACTATCATGTACATGTACTTTTCTGGAAAAGATTATAAAGGATGCAAAAATATTCCTCTTGATTCCCAGGGAGACATTTTATACTGGGAAATAATCTTATTCATGCATTGTATTCACTTACAACCAGGCACAGTGAAAATACATTAAGTATTCATAAGCCAGATGAATGATTCCAAGTTCAGTATTTGAAAGATGAGCTAGATTTTCTACAGACACATGTCAGCAAATACTATTCTATAAAGCAAAGGGTTAAGAATGTTTTTTATTGAAATTAATTTGTTCAAAGCAATGTCTGCCTTATGGTATTAGGCCTGGAGATTTTTGACTTCCAGGAAAAGTGATTTATCATGTCAGGAGTTTTTGGATATAATCTTCAGAAAATTTTAAACAATTTTTTTTCTCCATAACTCTAGCCCTAAGAATTGTGTTAGATTGTTGTGTTAATGAACAGTCTGCTCATTTTCTATGGAGAAGAGAAAGCATGTTCTGAATCTCAGAAGGTATTAAATGCTAAAAATGTGAAGTATTTTTAATGGCTATTTCCCTAAATATGAATCCAGATAAAATATTAACAATGTATTTTCTAAAGTTTTGCAGGGAGAGACTATACATCTACTTCAAAAAACTTTCATTTTAAACTCTTGTGAGCATAATTTTAGAAGAAGATTAAAAAATTCTGAGGACAGTTTGCCAGATTCTCCTCAAGGGGAAAATCCAGGTGTTAGGTCAAGGCACCGGTTTACCAACAAAGCAAGGAGAAAAGGAGCATACAGGAAGGTGGAAAAGAAGGATGGTGTTAGGATCATAGGGGGAAAAAAGACCAATTTAACCCCTCTTTCCAGGAAACAAAAACTGAAATCAACTCAGCAGGCCCCTTTTGGAAATCTGTGTTCTAAAAAGACATTTGAGACAAAAACGTGCTTTTGTTGAGTCCTTTTATTTTCAGTACTATACAAGCATATGTTTAGAAATAGATTAATAGTAATGGAAATGCTTACTTCTAAGTATCTTTAGTATCAATAGGATTAGGGTTAAAAAAACACCCTATACATAATTAGTAATCATTAAAATAACCGATCTGTAGGAATCTTTTCAGTGTTATTTTAAGATAAAGATACCAGGAATTTCTTCTAACAGTACCAAGTAGATCCCGCACTATAATGTTGGTCAAGAGTACAACATCTAGTAACTAATATGACTTTATTATTCTCAGAAGAGAGGGCAGAGGATTGGTTTCCTCATCTGATCGCTGTTCCCATTGTATGTTCTCATCTCTGCACTGCAACGTTCTTAGTTATTATCAACAGGCCGCAGGAAATATCAGCAAATTGCACACTCCTGCAAGACTAGTTTATTATGTCACACACTTAGGCCTTTCTATTGTTTGACATAAATTTCCTCAAAGGGGGAGGGTTAGAAAGGCATTTGCCTCGTCTTCCTCCTCTCCTCCATACGTGGGCTCTGGCTAGGACAAATGCTCTCACCGTCCCTCGAAGGAAGGTCTGGCTGCGAGCAGCACAGAGCCCTGGCACGTGCTGGGCACGGAGCCCCCTCCGCCCCCAAGTCTGGGCGCCCCCGGCGCTTAAGTCCTCCCGGTTACCCACAAGCCTCCGGGCAGCAGTGCGAGCAGGAAGACGGCGCGGGCCCCAGCGCCGGCCGGGGAGGTCGGCGCCTCCTCGCAGAGACCGAGAGGCTCGCAGTCGCGACGGGAGGGGGCGCGGCCTGAGACAGTCACACCAAGGACTGAAAGGGAGACTGTCCCCCAAGGCCTAAGTCTGAAATCGCGGCCGCGGTTTTCAGACGCAGGCCCGTGTGGAACAAGGAGCTCTCCTCCGACAGCTGTCGGACACAAGACAGCCGAGGCGGAGCACACATCATCCTTCTCCTTCCCGGACATCTGAACCAGGCACCCTGGTGTGGGTTACTGCTAGCGTCTGAGGATTGCACAGCCGTGTCCCTCTGAGGAGTACCATAGGGGGTTTAGTATGTGCTGTTATTTAATAAGCATCAGTGAACATGCGGGAGCTCCCTTTTACCTCCCAGGCCCAGCCTTCAACCTGTCTGCCTTCGAGTTTTGTTTTGTTTTTTAACTCTTGTTCGTGTCAACCCTTCCTGCCTCTGCCTGTATCGCCTGCGGTCTCGCTTCTCGTCTAGAAGCTCTCCCGCCGCCTGCGTCTCGGATTCTCGCTCCCGCCACTCCTCCCCGCCCCGCGGACTCGCCTCTTCCTCCTTTCGGCCCCTGCGCCCTAAACCCCGGACTGCATTTCCCGGCGGGCGCCGCGGCCGGCAGCCAATGAGCGACCGAGGATTTGGCGGCGGCAGCGCCGGGGCTCCGAGAGTCGGGGAGGGGGGGCATTGTGCACGACGACGACGGCGGCGGCGGCAGGCGGCGGGAGCTGGCGGCAGCGGCCAGTACGGAGGTGGAGGCGGAGGCCGAGGCCGAGGGGATTGTCTGCCAGTCGCCGCGGAGAGGCGTGCGAAGGCCGAGGCGGGCCCCGAGGACCCCACTGCCCCCGCCCGGCCACCAGCCCCAGGCTCTTCTCTGGCAGCCGCGGCTGCGCGGCGACTCCCCCACTCCTCCAGCTCCCCTGCCCACCCGACCTCCCGCAGCCTTCCTCCTCTTCGCTTCGCGCCCGGCCCGGCCCGGCCGTGGCCCTCCTCGGTGCCGGCCGCCATGGCAGAGGCGTCCGGCGCGGGGGAAATCTAGCCCGGGGATTTCATGCGGCCTAGCTTGGTTCCGTCTCCTGCCCCCGCGGCTCCGGCGGCTGCCCGCGCCCCAGCCCCACTCCGGGCCTCCGTGTCTCTCCTGTGATCGTACTGACACGGCCGGGGGGTTAGAATGGAACAAACTGAAGGTAAAGTGGGTTTGTGTGTGCGTGTGCGTGTATTGGAAAGACGGGCTGAGGAGGGGGCGACCTAGAGATGGGACCCGGCTAGGGAGAGGCCGTAGCAGGAATGAGAGGACAAGCGGGTGGCCTGAACGGTTTCGAGGGGAGGCTAGGAGGAGGAACAGACGGCCAGGTGCGTGGTGCGGAGGGGATTGGGAGGTGGGACAGGGGAGACAGGACTGGGCTACGAGATGGAGTGCTGCTGGGCTGGGAATTGGGAGTAGAGGTGGGATGGGGGCGGGGATAAAGATGGAACGGGGGAGGGGCAGGAGAAGAGTTGAGTTCGGTTTGGAAAATGTTAAGAGACCTGGGCGATTGAGAAATGGGTGGAGTGTGGGAACTACAAGAGCCTGGGGGAAGGGGGTAGAATTTGATGGTGAAATGGGGCATCCAGGGAGAAAGGAGGGAAAGGAAGTGGAGGAAAAGATGGATTAGGAAAAGGGATGAGAAATGATTGAAACAGGATGCAGTGGGAAGATAGGAAATAGGGAATTGGAAGACCTAGGACTGGGATAGGGAAGGAAATGAACTGGATGTTGAGAAGGATGCGAACTATCGA